GTTCCCTCTCTCGCTGTGTCTCTCTCTGTCAAATAAATAAATCTTAAAAAAAAAATACAATGTAACAATCTTCACACCTTGTTCCCACTCTCATATGTCTGTCTACATGTCTCTTTTCCAGACTTCCTCATCTCTGATATTTGAATTTTTCTCCTTCCAGGACCCAGACCGTTTCTCATTGGCGAGAGCCCATATGTGTTTTGACTTTAGGCCACTTTCCCTTTTACACGAAGTGGATGACCAGATGCATCTTCTGAAGCTTTGCACATTGGGAAGATCTATCTTTCACAAATTGTCTCATTATTATTTTTCACAACCACACTGAATAAGTTATATAATGCAGAGAGCATCTACTTTTGGTTTTCACCCAAATCAACCCATCCATAAACCAAGCTGTCAGGGGGAGGGGGCGGTTCCTCCTTCCTCAGCTGATTGAGTGGGAGGTCCCTTTGGTCACTGGTATGAGCTCAGAAGGGACACTGCTAATAGTGGATGCCATGATAGGACACAGTAGTTACCATGAGGTTTTAGACCCAGTCTTCATGCCCCTTGCAGTGTCATTTCTTCCTGCTCATACTCAGTCTCAGATGTACCATGTCCATCTTATGATGGATTGCTACAGGGCCCATCTTACTTTACGACTTATTCCCAACAGATGGTGGACAGTTCCAAACTTGTGCTTGGTATCCCAAAGTCAAGTGTTCCAGCTCTGTCAGAGCACCTAACTAGGAGCTGTTTTACAAAAGGTGCATAACCCTCTGCTGCAGATAGTGTAACCTTGCTCCATAACCCTAGGAGCCTGGGTTGTGATTCTTCCCCTGGGACTCGTCGTAAACTTCACACCATCTCCTTTTCTACCATTAATATCTCAAATACCATGGGGTGTGCTGAGATCATTTGTTCTAAACAGGAGGGCTACTTGCTCTACAGCTAGGACTGTTTTCTCCAAAGCCCAAGAAGGCCTAACAGTTGGGGCGCCTGGGTGGCTCAGTCAGTTAACGTTTGCCTTCGGCTCAGGTCATGATCCTGAGCCCCAGGATCGAGCCCCACATCAGGCTCTCCACTTAGCAGGAGTCTGCTTCTCCCTCTGACCCTACCCCCTCTCGTGCTTTCTCTCTTATTCTCTCTCTCTCAAATAAATAAATAAAATCTAGGGAAAAAAAGATCCAGGAAAAAAAAGAAGGCCTAACAGTCATTGTACTTCCTTCACTGTAATAGTGGCTGCATGATACAGCAATTTGCCCTTCACTTTGAAGGGAGTGCCCTGGCGTTCACTTGACTATGGGATGTGCAGAAACTTTACTAAATTGGCAAGTACCTGAATTTTTGTAGTCTGTCTCCCTCCCTTTGGAGTACATGTGTCTTACCAATTCTCCAGCACACTAGTACCCTCTTACTTATTCATCTGCCAGATCATCTTGATGTCATCAATGTAATGAATCAGTAGGATATTCTGTGATATGTCCAGATGGTCCAGATGTCTTCAGGCTACATTATGACAGATGGTGGGAAAGTTAACACAGCCCTGGAGCAAAATCTCTCTGATCTTCTTTCCTGACTAGGATAGAAGAGTATACATTCACCAACCCAATGGCTGCATACTACATACCAGAGACTATATTATCTACCCTCACAAAGAAACTACATCTGGCTGGGCAGCTGTGATCAGGGCTATTTCTTGGTTGAGCTAGCAATAGTCTCCAGGATCCATCTGGTTTCTGCAAGGACCAGACCAGCAAATTAAACAGAGATATGCTAGGGACCACCACACCTGCATCTTTAATAGTGGCACTAATCTCTGCCATCCTTCTCCAGGGCCACACCGTTTTTGCTTCAATATCTCGGTGGGAGGGGGACAGTTTCAGAGGGTTCCTGCTTGTCCTTCCACAGTATGATAGCTCTCACCAACAGGTCCAAAGTATGGGTTACTCCAATCACCACATAATGCCAATCCCAATTATATGTTGGAGGACTAGGAAAATGAGTACAGGTGAGTTAACAGAACTAGTGGACCCAGACTTTGACTAAGACTCTATTTATCACCTGGCCCTTGTATGTGTGTCCTCACTGTAATAGAGAGCCTGTGATAAGTTTTGGGTCATATCAGTGCCAACTTGGACCCTGTTTCCAACAGTGCTGGAAATGTCTGAATGTATTCCTTTCCCCAGTGAACAGTCACCCAAGTACATGGCCTAGATCCCTTTGGGGAAGCACTGGGGAAATCATTATGTATTACAGGGCCCTTCTCCCTCAGATCCAATTATCTCATCAGTGAATGAGTGCCAGGTCTGAAAACTGAAAAGTATTTCAGGTCCAGAAACTGGGCAAGAGACTTTTGGGGTAACTTCCTTCAACCTCCCATTCATCCACTCTTGCTCTATTTTGACTATGTATGTTAAGCAGTGTGTTTTGGCTGTCCCTCGAGACACTGTGTTCTGTTAGCCTCCCATAACTGTGGACACTGTGACCCTCTGGCTTCTGATGGTGAAATGCTACCACCAGGGCCCTCTTATCCTCACTGCTATCAGTGAGCCAAATGCTATAACCACTTCTCTTGCCGCTAACTCTGGCCTACGGAGGAGAGCCACACTATACTTCATAGTGATGCTGGGGCCCCCTGACCAGATCATTTCTAACACCCTCGGTGAATGGTGAATCCTTTAGGCCTTCCTAGGAACATATTCCTTCTCCTGGCCTCATGTACCATTTAAGTTGTCATCACTTATATCCTTGAGCCAAGTCCTAATCCTAAATATATCCTAAATCTTTGAGCACATAATTATTTCTCTTTTCATTCTTTTTTTTAAAAGATTTTATTTATTTGACAGAGAGAGACACAGCGAGAGAGGGAACACAAGCAGGGGGAGTGGGAGAGGGAGAAGCAGGTTTCCCACAGAGCAGGAAGCCCGATGTGGAGCTCAATCCTAGGACCCCGGGGTCATGACCTGAGCCAAAGGCAGACGCTTAACGACTAAGCCACCCAGGCGCCTCTCTCTTTTCATTCTTAATGACCTATCTAGAGAATCCTTTGAAACCCATACACTTAACCACTGTGTTACTTAGGATCCTCCAAGCAGATTCCAAGATCAGATTAGATGGGCAAAAGATTTTTTTGGGGGGGGGAGGGGAACAAC